TTTTGCAGAAGGCAATTGGACTTCCTTGTTTTTTTCTTTTGGAAGACCTTTCACTTCTCATCCAAGAAGCTTCTTCAGCTCTGACTATCTATCATTTCCCACTATCCTGTCAGAGCTGAAGAAGCTTCTTGGATGAGAAGTGAAAGGTCTTCAAAAAGAAAAACAAGGAAGTCTGGTTGCCTCCTGAAAAAAAAAGAAGCACCTTTGGGACTAGAAGATGATTGTGAATTCTCATTATCCTATTTTGAGGAGGATCTCACAGGGGAATGTTTATTTTCTCGCTGGCCTTTGCTGCAGAAGCTCCAGGGTTTCCTCAACATTGGCAACTTGAAGATGTGTGTGGACTTCAACTCCCAGAATTCTCCAGAACCTGAATGACACACAATCCCACCTCTTTGTGATTGTGTCTTTTTCGAGTTAAAACTTTTTATTAGTTTATCTAAGTATAAAATAGAAAGGGGGGGAAAGAACCGTGGAAAAGAAAGAAGAGAGGAAAGGAAAAAAGAGGAAGAGAAAAGTGTAATGGGAGGAAAAAAGGAAAAAGGCACCAACTTCCAACTCTCTTTGGCACAAAGGAAACAACATTACTGTTGGGAAATGGTTATTTGTCTAACTAGTTGGTCAGGCAAAATATAAACCAACAATGTATGTTTGCAGTCAGAAAGGTATTATATTGCTTTAAGACTGTATTGCATCATCCTGTATCCTGATTGGCTAAGCTCTGTAGCCAATGTACTTAAGGGAAGTCAGGATCATGGCTTGTGTGGATACTACACCATTTTACCTGCTTATTTGCTGTGATTCTCTACCTGATCTCTCTGCATGATCACTGTTTGATCATAGCTACATGTTGCTTTCTACTATTTATTGAATGTTTTGATATTGAACTTGTTCCTGTTTTGAAACTCAAGAAGAACACTTATTGTGTATGACTACAACTGGTAAGAAGACTTTGTACTTGAAATATCCCTGGATTGATCTTTTAACTCTCGTCTTATCTGTGTATGACTTGGATTGTTTTTGGACTTTGCTTTACTTTTTTCTAAAAGTAAAAGACTACAACAACTCAGTGTGTTTGTATGTTGACTGTGATTGTTCACAACCACCCCCAGCCACTTTTCATGCATCTACTCACAGGGTACTCTGTTCAATAACCCCCAACATCGATTATGAGCCAAAAAATATCCTTAACAATAACAACGACACCTTTTTGCGTTTACACAACAGTATGTACAAGCCATTTCAATGACTATAAGCCTGCCTAGTCTACAAAAAAAAGAATCAAAGTTTCATTTATTTATTTTTTCTCATGGCAAACACAAAATCCAGAAGCAATTTCGAACTAGGGACAAAATTAAATATAATCTCTTATTTAGATATTTAGGACTGTGTCTTATGATTTATGATCCATGTCATGACTTATCCTTTTGTTGCTTCTATGTACACCAGAGACAAATTCCTTGCGTGTCCAATCACACTTGGCCAATAAAGAATATAGGTAGCCTTCAATTTATGACAAAGTTCGTTTAGTGACAACGGCACTGAAAAAAGGAACTCAGGGCCGTTTTTCACACTTACGACCGTTGCAGCATTCCCCTCAGTCACGTTATCAAAATTCATACACTAGGCAGCTGACTCACAATTATGACAGTCGCAGTGTGCCGGGGTCATGTGATCCCCTTTTGCAACCTTTCAATGACCCAAGTCAATGGGGGAAGACAGATTCACTTAACTACCATCTTACTAACCTAACCACCGCAGTGCTTCACTTAACAACGGTGGCGAGGAAGGTCCTGAAATTGGGGCAAAACTCCACGGTCTCACATAGAATAGAATAGAATAGAATAGAATAGAATAGAATAGAATAGAATAGAATAGAATAGAATAGAATAGAATTTTTTATTGGCCAAGTGTGATTGGACACACAGGGAATTTGTCTTGGTGCATAAGCTCTCAGTGTACATAAAAGACAAGATACATTCGTCAAGAATCATAAAGTACAACACTTAATGATAGTCATAGGGAAACTGTCAATATAAAACTTAAGGATGTCAGCAACAAAGTTACAGTCATACAGTCATAAGTAGGAGGAGATGGGTAGTGGGAACGATGAGAAGATTAATAGTAGTGCAGACTTAGTAAATAGTTTGACAGTGTTGAGGGAATTATTTGTTTAGCAGAGTGATGGCGTTTGGGGAAAAAACTGTCCTTGTGTCTAGTTGTTCTGGACTATAGCATCATTTTGAGGGTAGGAGTTGAATGGTTTATATCCAGGATGCGAGGGGTCTGTAAATATTTTCACAGCCCTCTTTTTGACTCGTGCAGTAGACAGGTCCTCCATGGAAGGCTGATTGGTAGCCATTGTTTTTTCTGCAGTTCTAACTATCCTCTGAAGTCTCTGTCTGTCTTGTTGGGTTGCAGAGCCAAACCAGACAGTTATGGAGGTGCACATGATAGACTCAATAATTCCTCTGTAGAACTGGATCAGCAGCTCCTTGGGCAGTTTTCTAACATTTGCAACATAAATGTTGGGCTCCGTTGTGTTCGTAAGTCGAGGACTACCTGTAATTGTCCTCCTGGCTGTTGAACTTTACCTGAGAGACTTTTGCAACTCATGCGTGACTCATCGTATTTTTGGTGAGTCATTGTTGTATCGAGCAGAAAGAACAGGTTGGAAAGAGGATTGAGAGGGGGACAAGAAAGAAGAACATTGTGTCTTCCGAAGTTCTTTGGATGCGAAAATTTATATAAAATGTTCTACAGGTGGCACCTTCTGCCTACAAGGTTAGCAAAAATGAACAAGAATTTATCACCACAATGTTGGAAATGTAACTCACCAATAGGATCTTTTTATCACATGTGGTGGTTATGTACAAAAGCTAAGGAATTTTGGCATCAGATAAAGACATGGCTGGAAAAGATACTAGACCAAAATATAGATTTGAAACCAGAACTATTCCTACTAAGAATCACAAAAGAGAAATATGACACAGGACAGATATACTTAATGCTGCATGTTATAACTGCAGCAAGATTGGTTTATGTGACTTCTGGTTTGAACTTCCAACACTTTTGGTGCGAAATCTGCGACCTCTTGCGGGTCCGTTCCGAGCTCCCCCTATCGGGGGCTTCACTAGGAGCCATAGCCACCTTGGAGGGGTGGTGAAGCAGAGGGGAACCACCTTGCAGGTCGAAGTGAACCGCATCTCCTCTCCCCGACTCGGAAAACCCCCTCATCTGAAGACTAGGAGCAGCGGCAGTCAAAATGGCTGCCATGAAGCCGGGGAACAACCAAAACCATAAGTTTGTGCAGGAGTAGAGAAATGCTGAATTGTGTGTCATCTGTGTAAGAAAAGATTTACAGCTGAAGTTGGACCCCACAAAAAATTTAAGGGGAATACCTTTTAGAGCAATTTGCTACAGCGGCGTGCAACTATTGTGGAAAGATTGATTTATGCGCAATATTGGAAAAAAGGAAGAAATCCCCCCCTCCCCCCCCCGGAAGAAGAAATAATAAAGAAAATCTTGGTCTGTGCAGAAATGGACAGACTGAGACTAGAACTTAAAAATAAGGGTGAGACAGAATACTTTGAAACATGGAATAAATTGTATCAATGGTTGGAAGGGAGGAAAAGGAGTTGGAGAAGAAAAGATTTAGGGTTCGTAGAACAGAAATTGGACAATATTTAGATAAATATAATGTCTGCAAGAAAACAACCAACTTCAAAAAGAACCAAAGATTCCACAATCACAATCCTCCACCTCCTCCTCCTTCTCCTTCTCCCTCCCTCCCTCCCTCCCTCCCACAAACCCCACTCCCTTCTAGCACTGTTGTTACCTAGTTGGGTCATGAAACGTCTGCAAGAAAACAAGCAAGTTCAGAGAGCACTAGGAGCAAGGAGCCCTCAGTCAGCCTCCTCCTCCTCCTCCTCCTCCTCTCCACAAATGTCACTCCCTTCTAGCACTGATGATGTTACCTAGTTGGGTAATGAAAGGTCTGCAAGAAAATCACCAAGCTCAGAGAACACCAAGGACCCCACAGTTCAACCACCAAGCCACAAAGATGTTGAGACTCTAGAAAGAGTGCAGAGAAGAGCAACAAAGAGGATTAGGGGAATATGAAGAATGATTGCTGGAATTGGGTATGTCTAGTTTGATGAAAAGAAGGACTAGGGAAGACATGATAGTAGTGTTCCAAAATCTCAGGGGCTGCCCCAAAGAAAGAGGGAGTCAAGCTATTCTCCAAAGCACCTGAGGGTAGAACAAGAAGCAATGGGTGGAAACGAATCAAGGAGAGAAGCAGCGTAGAACTAAGGAGGAATTTCCTGAATGTTAGAACAATTAACCAGTGGAACAATTTGCCTCCAGAAGTTGTGAATGCTCCAACACTGGAAGTCTTTAAGAAGAGATTTGATAACCATTTGTCTGGAGTGGTTTAGGGTTTCCTGCCTAAGCAGGGGGTTGGACTATAAGACCTCCAAGGTCCCTTCCAACTCTATTCTATTCTATTCTATTCTATTCTATTCTATTCTATTCTATTCTATTCTATTCTATTCTATTCTATTCTAAATACTGTCTTCAATTGGTACAAACTGAATTGTTAATTAGGGAAGTCCCTTTGTCCATCAACCTCTTCCTGAAAGATGCTCGGAAGATGAATCAAGACTAAGACTCACTGTGTTTCTGAGATGCCGTGTAACGCTTGAGAAATATTCCACTGGTACCAATTCAACCCTACGCTTTCACACCCTCTGCTCTCCCCATATCCTAAAACAGATCAGACTTGGAGGGCCAATCAATTTAAATAACCGTCTAGTTTTGTGTGTGTCCCCCCAAAAAATGTTGAACACAAAAGAAGTGCCGCTTGTTTTCAACGCTCAAATATCAGAGTTTTTGTAAGATGATTTCACAGGAGAAACGTTTCGCCCCATTTTATTTAGAGGTGCTGGACTCACCAGAATCTTTTCCCCACTGCAGCCATCTGGATAGTGAGGATTTAGCTGCAAAAGAATACTTTTATTAGCATTTTTAGAAATGGTTTTTAACAGGTGGTGTTAAAATGAGTTTGTAAATACAGGTTCAGAAGGTTGAGAAATGTGCTAGCTACAAGCAGATTTGTGGAGTCCTTGGCCACCTCCGAGCTTGGTGGTTGTCTTGCAGACGTTTAGTTACCCAACTAAGTAATCTCATCAGTGCTAGTAAGGGAGTGGGGTTTGCTGGCTGTTTATAGACTAGTGGCTTGTCCTGATAGTATTAATGAGAGTGTTTTAGTGCTTCCTTGACCAAGCTAAGGCCAAAAACATTAGAAAATTCTTTAAAGCCTGGCACTCAAACAAATCAGCCATCAACAGGCACATAGAGTTAACTAACATCTACAAACCATTCAAAAGAGACAGTCAGAAAGCTAAAATACTCCAGCCTAGGAGCTACCAACTCAGACAAACTGACAGCAAAACAATAACTAATCAAAGGACCACCAAAAAGATAAACCACACTCCCACCAACATTGACAGAGCAAGCCACCAGCGTATAAAATGAGAGTAAACTCTACCTCCTTCTAGCACTGAGGATGTTACCTAGTTGGGTAATGAAATGTCTACGAGAAAAATCACCAGGCTCAGAGAGCATCAAGGACCCCATGGTTTAATCCCCTCTTCTATCGATACAAACTTTCCCAATTTTTTTTTCTTGCCTCGTATTTTCCCCACAATAATCCGGCAATGTGAGTGGGCTTTCACACGAAAGGAAGGAAGGAAGGAAGAAAGAAAGGAAAGGAAAGGAAAGGAAAGGAAAGGAAAGGAAAGGAAAAGGGAAAGGAAAGGAAAGGAAAGGAAAGGAAGAAAGGACACTGATAAGGGAAGGAGAAGGAAGGAAGGAAGGAAAGAAGGAAGGAAGGATGGATGGAAGGAAGGAGGAAGAAGAGAGGGAAGGGAAGAGAAAGGAAGAGAAGGAAAGGTAAAGAAAGGGAAGGGAAGGGAAGAAAGGACACTGATAAGGGAGGGAGGAGGAAGGAACGAGGAAGAAGAGAGGGAAGAGAATGGAAGGGAAGGGAAGGGAAGGGAAGGAAAGGAAAGGAAAGGAAAGGAAAGGAAAGGAAAGGAAAGGAAAGGAAAGACACTGATAAGGGAGGGAGAAGGAAGGAAAGAAGGAAGGAAGGAAGGAGGAAGAAGAGAGGGAAGGGAAGAGAAGGGAAGGGAAGGAAAGGAAAGGAAAGGAAAGGAAAGGAAAGGAAAGGAAAGGAAAGGAAAGGAAGGAAAGACACTGATAAGGGAGGGAGAAGGAAGGAAAGAAGGAAGGAAGGAAGGAGGAAGAAGAGAGGGAAGGGAAGAGAAGGGAAGGGAAGGGAAGGAAAGGAAAGGAAAGGAAAGGAAAGGAAAGGAAAGGAAAGGAAAGGAAAGGAAAGGAAAGGAAAGACTGATAAGGGAGGGAGAAGGAAGGAAAGAAGGAAGGAAGGAGGAAGAAGAGAAGGAAGAGAATGGAAGGGAAGGGAAGGGAAGGGAAGGAAAGGAAAGGAAAGGAAAGGAAAGGAAAGGAAAGGAAAGGAAAGGAAGGACGCACACTGATAAGGAAGGAAGAAAGGAGGAAGAAGAGAGGGAAGAGAAGGGAAGGGAAGGGAAGGGAAGGGAAGGGAAGGAAAGGAAAGGAAAGGAAAGGAAAGGAAAGGAAAGGAAAGGAAAGGAAAGGAAAGGAAAGGAAAGGAAAGGAAAGGAAAGGAAAGGAAAGGAAAGGAAGATTTTGCTTGGCCAGCTTAAACTGAAAAGCCATTTCGAATAAAATCTATAATGAAATTAGATCCCAAGTTCTTTTAAACTATCGATTCTTTTAATAATAACTTTTTTCTCTCTTCTTCTCTCTTTCACTCTCAGCCACCTATAAATATATCAGTCTCTCTGCTTTACAGACATCGTGCCAGGAACAAGACGAAGGACTCAACGAGTCTTCACTGCCTCCTGCCGGCATAATTTTCATCTATTTGTTCAAGATAAACTTGGCGAGAGAGAGAGGGGGGGTGGAGGGGCAGAGATTTGCTTCAAAAACAAAAACCACATAACAGGTAACCTTGACTCCTAAAGGCCTTCATTGATCAAACAAAAACATGTTTCAAGAACAACTCCGATCCGGCTGGCCAGGCGGCGTTTCCCGAAAAGCAAATACACATATCTTAAGACAGAGTACAGTCAATAAATTAGCCATTCATTTCGCAGAGGTCTTTATCCTATGGATAAATAAAAAACTTGAGATAAACTTTTTTTTATCCTGGGAGTCCTACAGCTGGAAGGCTACCTTGGGTCTTTGGCAGGAAAAAAACAAAACAAAATGGGATATGTGATTATTGTATTGACTTTCTGATTTAATGTACGGTCTTGCTTTTCTCCTCAGAAAGGACACACGAGGCAATGAATAAAACTTTCTTTTTTTTAAAAAAAAGACCAAGGCCAAATGTTCCAAGCATAAAATTAATATTCAGCTCCAGGGGTGGGCTTCAAAAATTTTAGCCTGCTTTTCTCTGCCCACTTGCTAGGTGGGCGTGGCCATGGTGGGCGTGGCCTAGTCAGCCTCCTGCACCACGGCGGGTGGGGCGAATTTTTGCCCTCCCCGGGCTTTGGAGGCTTTCCTTGAGCCTCCAAGAGGGCGAAAACGGCCTCCCCAGGCTCCGGAGGCCCTCTGGAGGCCGGAAACGAGCCCATTTCTGGCCTTCCCGAACTTCCGGTACACCTGTTTTTCGCCCTCCGAGCCTCCGCGGATGCCCTGCACTTACCTGCATCCAAAATAGACCCCATGGGGACTCCTGGGAGGGGAAGGGCGAGGTGGGTGGGGCCAGGCAGGAGTGGGATTTGGGGGTTCTCCAAACTGCACAGAATCTTAGCCAGAAGTTCTCCCAAACCCCTGTGAACCGCTAGCAGCCCATCCCCGTTCAGCTCCGTTTGCCGTTAAAAGCTCGTCGAAAGAAATGCATCTTTAGGGGATGCCCTGAATACAGGGTAATCCTCGGGTTACGACCACGATGGAAACCCAGAATTTATGTTGCTAAGTTAAGGGAGTTTTGCCCCGTTTTTACGACTTTTCCTGCCACAGCGGTTAAGTGAATCGGCGCCGTTGTTAAATGAGTCACACGGTTGTTAAGCGAATCTGGCTTCCCCCCCGTGGGCTTTGCTTGTCAGGAGGTCGCCAAAGGGGGATGACGTGACACACACCCCGGGGACAGTGCAATATGTCACAACTATGAGTCAGCTGGCGAGCGTCTGAATTTTGATCACGAGAATGCTATAATGGTTATTAAGTGTGAAAAATGGTCCTAAGCAGTGGTGGGATTCTAATAATTGAACAACCTGTTCTCTGCCCTAATGACCGGCTGGGTGGGCGTGGCCATGGTGGGCGTGGCCAGGGGGTGTGACAGGCAGTACTCAGTCCCCTACATCCCCCTGGGAGCAAAAATAGGCCACGGGGGGGGGATGCACCATTTTGGGCCTAGTACGCCTCCCAGCACTTACCTGGGAGCCAAAATGGGGCCCGTAGGGATTCCTGGAAGGGGCAGGTCGGTGCAGAGCTAGCCAGCAATTTAACTACTGGTTCTCTCGAACCGGCTGAATCCCACCAGTGTCCTAAATCACTTTTTTTCAGTGTTGTTGTAACTTCAAACAGTCACTAAATAGAGTGTTGTAAACTGAGGACAGCTTGTTATTATTTAGAAAATCCCTCGTCTGTTTTGGAAATCATGTCCTTTTTCTCATTGGGAGACGAATACGAGAATTCTGGATGTTGGGATTTCTCGTATCGAGAACTTCTGGCTTCTTGCTAAAGAAATAACAGGCAAGTACTTCAAGAGGTTGTAACTTTGAATGGTCACTAAATGAATTGTTGTAAGTCGAGGATTCCCTGTACTTAAGGAGGGAAAGGAAGAGGCACCTTCCAAGGGACACACTTCAGAATTTGGCAATCATGAAGGAAAAGTTCCCTTTCCATGGGTACCAAAAAAGCCTTCTATTGAAGATCAAGCACCCAAAATTCGTAACAGGAATGGCTTAGATTCCTAATTTCTAAACCATTTAGAACTTCAAATTGATCCCACAACTTAAACTGTCCTTGAAAAGCCACTGGTGATCCGCTCGGAACTTCTAGATTCAGTAGTGGCCAAAATTGTGGAAACGTTTTGGGAAAAGGTGTATTTTCTCAAACTAGCTAATAACGCCACTTAATTTTTTGGAGTAGTACCATAAAATTATATATCGATGGAAAGATAATTTAATCAAGAATGCAATGCAATAACATTTATGAAGGATTTGCTATTAGAACAGCAGTTACAGTATAAAGAAGAAAAGCGAAGTATGTAGGAAAAAACAAGATATACAAAAATGATCACTATAGAAAGAACGAGATATACAAAAGTTATCTCCATGTCAGTTAATACTTAGTTGGGTAACTGAATTACGGCCTTACAACGTCTTCCCATGGGGTGAACCAAGTCTTTTAGTTCTGCAGCTGTTATCATGTAAAACCAAGATGGAATCATGGCTTCTATTAACTGGGTTTTATTGCTGGGTCGCTTCTGACTAACAGTTTCTTTAGTCGGCTCCATAGATTTTCAATTGGGTGAAGGTCTGGGCTATTCCCAGGCCATTCCAGCAGTGGAATAGGATTCTCTTGAAACTCCAAAAAATAAAAAAAAAGTGGTGTTATTAGCCATCAAACCTCAAAAATACACTTTTCCCAAAATGGTTTCCACAATTTTGGCCACTACTGTAGGTGTCAAAGGATGTTTGCACCATGCCAATTAACAGCTATATTTCAGGTCTAGATTTTAAACCTGAACTGTTTTTTATTAGGTATAATATCAGGAAAAAAATTGGTAAGAAAAGTATGTATTTAATATTACATGTTTTGACAGCAGCGAGGATTATATTGGCACCATACTGGAAAAATGAAGTTATGCCACGAGATGAAGAGATAGCCAAGAAGATTTTCGATGGGGCAGAAATGGACAGATGGATGTTGAAAATTA